AATCCACTCACCTCAGCCTCCCAAAGGCGCGGGATTACAGGCTGAGCCACCAAGCCCGGCAAATGCCTTCTTTGATATGTCTATTCAACTAAGTCAGAATTTAGGGAAGGTTGTTGGAGGTATGTGAACATCGTTTGAAAAAAAAAGCCATGTTTATTTTCACTAATGTCTATCTGAAATGGAACATTTCTTTCAATTATGAAGATAGACCACAATTATTTTACCACAATTATCTTAACTAAAAGAAATCTCACGTTTTAATTTAAGTTAACTTACAGTACATGTAGATGTATTGAAATCCAGTTTTGCTTATTATTGTTACTGTTATACCTTACGCTAGATCTTACTGTTTTAATAAGGGAGCACATACATTACTATATTACATTAAAATATTTTGTACATGTATGTTACATAATTTTGGGGGGTTATCGTATGTATTTTATTTAATCCATTTTAAAAGCTTTTTGAGGAGTTCATAAGCGTCCCCAGATGGCTAAAGTGATCCATGGTGCCAAAAAAAAAGGTTAAAAACTCGTCCTCTAAATGCTCAGTGTAGACCCAAGAAAGAGAAAGGAAGCAAGTCATGAAGTCCTACCTTCTCAGTTCGAGTTCCTGTCCAAGGCTCAGCAATTTCTGTTGCAAGTCAACTCTGAGAATAAACTTCCCTTTAGGATAGTCTGTTACTTGCCAAAGTGTAACTTAATCCTAGCAGACCTTTTGGGGAAAGCCACATCAAAGACAACATAGTAATCTCAGCATTTATTGAAGAGATATGTGTAGATATGTACAGAGTGTGGTGGTTGGATAGGGTTGCTGTTCATGCCCATCTAATTTTTTCATATGCTTCTTTCTTTGAAAAGTCTATGAATTTATGTAACAAACATTCGAGTTTTCATTATGGTTAAGAATTGTGCTGGTTTAATAAAGATGAATAAGATAAGGTGTTTTCCCCCACATTGATCTTAAAGTATAGTAGAGAAGAACTGACATGTCAACACAAAGAAAGGTGGAGGAGATGACAGAGGCCCAGATAGAAGTCTGTTCATTGTGGGGGATGGGAGAGGGCAAGAAGCAGCACAGAGAAGTTTACTTATTAATCTGAGAACATAATGTGGGAGGTTCAGGAAAGCCTTAACATAGGTGCTAAAGCTGAAGCTGAGTATCAAAAGGTGACTGGGTTCTCCTCCAGCAGACAGGCCAGGGAAAGGTGTTTCAGCAGAGGAAGCCGCTTGTGGAAGCAGGGTGGCGTGTTAGAAATAAAGGTGGAGCAAGAACTAGTTGCGTACAGAGTTGAAGACATAGGCAAGATGGCACGCAGGACTTCCTGCATGATCCTGAGAGCAACACTGCTGAAAAGTATCAGGCAGGA